AAAAATAAATATAAAATTTATTAATAAATTATTATATTTTTTATTTAAAAAATTAAATTTATAAAAAGTAAACGAAAGAATAATAGGCAAGACATATGATCACTTATTTTCAATTAATAAAATAAATAAGTAAAATCTGCTTGTTCTTAACATTATCGTGGTGACGATGAGACACTCCTCCATTATCATTGTTGGAAAAAAAAATGGTAAACAATTAATAAAAAGCAATGTTAAGGCCAAAGTCGTTCTGAATGTCATCGTCAACAAGGAGAAGTGACAGAAAAAATAATTAAAAAACCAGAGAAAGTAAGAAAAGTACTGAATGGAAATTCCCGTCAAAACAAACAGAGCCTCAAGAAGAAGAAGACACACCTGAATTACTTCTGCCAATCGCCACACATTCTCTCTCCTCGGAATTTCCGCTCTCGCCGCATCGAAAGTCTCAATATATTCTCCCCCTCCCCTCTCCGCCACTCCTTCATTCTCCTTACTCTCTCCGACCGATGGAGAGGTTAGCCCTCCACTCCTTCTCCACAGCCACCACCACTTCCTTCTCCCTCTCCTCCAGCAATTCCCTCTATCTCCGCTCTAAACCCATCTGCAGATCATCGCCTTCCGTCATCCCCAACTCTTCATTCTCCACCCTCCGATCTTCCCTCAAACCGCTTTTGTTTTCTCCTCTGCCCAAACCCTCCAAAACCCATATCTCCCCTGTTCGTGCCACCTCAAAAGATGACTCCTTGCCACTCCAAACGCCATCTCCAGCTCCATCCCCTCCTCAAGGAGCTAAACCAATTGCTTTCTTTATATCCATCGCAATTGGGCTGATTGTTCGCTTTGTTGTCCCTAAACCCGTAGCAGTAAGCCCACAAGGGTGGCAGCTTCTGGCCATCTTTTTGTCTACAATTGCGGGTCTGGTTTTGAGTCCGTTGCCGGTTGGAGCATGGGCGTTTCTCGGCCTGACAACCTCCATAGTCACTAAAACACTTTCATTTTCGACGGCCTTTGGCGCATTCACTAACGAGGTGATATGGCTGATTGTCATTTCCTTCTTCTTCGCTCGCGGGTTCGTGAAGACGGGTCTTGGGGACAGGATTGCTACTTATTTTGTGAAGTGGCTGGGAAGGAGCACATTGGGGCTGTCGTATGGGTTGACGTTCAGTGAGGCTCTGATGGCGCCTGCCATGCCCAGTACTACTGCAAGGGCAGGTGGAGTTTTCTTGCCTATTATCAAGTCCTTGTCTCTGTTGGCCGGGAGTAAGCCCGGAGATCGGTCTTCCAAGAGGCTTGGGAGTTATCTCGTTCAGACACAGTTTCAGGTTAGTATCACATCTGAATATATATAAAAATATTTTTTTTTGTGGGGTACTTTGATGCCTTTGCAAAGTGCAGAAATTGATTGTTGGTTTTGGAGATTTACAAATTCCGTGGTTTGAATCCATTATTGTGTATGTTCTGTTGTGTCCTCTGTTGTTCCTTTTGAATTTTCGTTTAGAACATGTTTGACAGTAGCTCTGTTATGCAAATAAGATATGCTGAACACAATTTGAAGTTTTGATATGATGGAACAAATCAATTTGGCTGTGCACTAGGAGATTTCTATTCATTCTATTGAGGAGGTCAGCGCGGGTAATATTCTCTAAGTCATCACTTTTAGTATGAGGAAAATCTTATGGTGATCAAGTACTGGAGATAGAGGCTTTTGCTAATTTAATTTGAAGTTGAGGTGAGTTAATACTTAGATTTGTTTCACTAGGAATAAGCTTCAGTTAAGTGAGTTGGCATGTTCAAAGGACACAACAAAGATGGCATACTCGAGAAAAATATATATTTTTTCTTCTCTCCTTTCTCCGTTTTAAGGTATTACATAGAGTTTCAAATTAACTGCTTCGCTACTTGTTGTTTAGCATGCATGCTTGTTGCATTGATATGAAAAAAAACCTCCTCATTTTCGTTTTCATTTTCTATAGGATGTTAGAGAGTGGTAAATTAGCCTGTTAAATGATTTGTCCTGTCTAAACTTATGAATATCCTTTATTTTTATTTCTTGTCAACCTTCGATATGTTACTACCTTTATGATGCATTTCTTTCTCTTTTGTACATCATCCATGACAGAGTTCAAGCAACTCTAGTGCCCTTTTCCTGACTGCTGCAGCTCAAAACATGCTGTGCCTCAAATTAGCAGAGGAATTGGGAATCGCAATTGCAAACCCTTGGGTTTCTTGGTTCATGGCTGCTAGTTTACCAGCTTTGGTTTCTTTACTAGCTACACCACTTATCTTATACAAGCTTTATCCACCTGAAGTCAAAGACACACCAGATGCCCCTGCGATGGCTGCCAAGAAACTAGAGACCATGGGTCCTGTTTCAAGAAATGAATGGATCATGATGACAACGATGCTACTTGCAGTTTCTTTGTGGGTCTGTGGGTAAGTAGTATCCCTTAATACCAATTCAAAGTTTATCAAGATATGACCTGAGAAATGTTTAATGTAAGCAGTTGATTTAATTACTGGAACAGTCCTGTCACTCAGTTTTATGAAAATGTTTTTTACTTATTCTTTTTAGTTGTTCACTTTAAACGATGAAGGCAGATCATATATATATATATATATATATATTTCAAATCTGAGATGTACTACCCTGTCAAGATCTCTTGTTACAATGCCCTATTGAAAAATGGAATTTTGGGTGAACTTAGGATGATAGTGTCATAGTTAGTGTTTACCAGTGAAAACAGATGAAGCAAGCAATTGAGATTTGGTGTATGATACCAAAAGGAATGTGGTATAGGAATATGGGTGTTTGTTAAAAATTGTCATTGGAGCCTGGGCCTCTTGACTTGTGGACTTGGCCGATGTTTTTTCCCTTTAATTTTTCTAGCAGTGTCCTTGATACTTTTACATAATACTTAAGGTTGGCATATGACTTTGTTTCTGTAAGCATTTTCATCATAACATTTAACAAGATCTGTTGTTTAGTGTTTGTTATAGAACATACTAATTCCTTAAGTCCTGAATAATCATATTTTTCTACTAATGCTTATATAGGGATTCTATTGGTATACCAAGTGTTGTGGCTGCAATGATTGGCTTGTCAATACTCCTTTTGCTGGGCGTGCTTGATTGGGATGATTGCTTAAGTGAAAAATCAGCATGGGATACTTTGGCATGGTTTGCTGTTTTGGTGGGCATGGCAGGGCAACTGACAAACCTTGGTGTTGTAACCTGGATGTCTGATTGTGTAGGGAAGTTGCTTCAGACTCTTTCTTTGAGCTGGCCTGCTGCATTTGGTGTTCTTCAGGCAGCGTATTTCTTTATCCACTATCTATTTGCAAGTCAAACTGGTCATGTTGGTGCTCTATACTCTGCATTTCTAGCAATGCACCTGGCTGCTGGGGTGCCTGGTGTATTAGCAGCTTTGGCATTAGCTTACAACACAAATCTTTTCGGTGCTTTAACACATTATAGCAGTGGTCAGGCAGCTGTATACTATGGAGGTATGTCTTGTTTTGCTCATCATGCTTAAATTTCACTCTCTCTAATGAAAGAGCACATGCACAATTCTGGCATTGCCATTGACAGAGCATTCATTTGTACTCACAATTGATAATACTGCTTCTATTTTTCTCTCTAACTTGGCTTCCTCCTTCCTTTCATCAACATTTGACACTGTGCTTCAAATTGCATGTCTGCATTTTCTGTCAGGTGTATGAGATTGGAAAAAAAAAGGAAGGATATTTGGTCACTAATTTGGCTCCCAAAATCATTTTAGATTTCTAATTCTCATTGTTCACCCATTTTTCCACCACCCAAGAGTTGATATGCCTATTTGAAATGCAGTCTTTGTCTTTACATTAGCATGATGAATGATAAGTTTCTAATTATACCTTCTTTTTTTTCATTTTTCGCAACAGCTGGTTATGTAGACCTACCTGATGTATTTAAGATGGGTTTCACAATGGCCCTCAGCAATGCTGCCATCTGGGTAGTTGTTGGAACCTTCTGGTGGAAATTTCTGGGTCTTTACTGATAGAATTGTCTTGTAAGTATACATCTTCCCTGCTGTAACATGTCCACTGGGGAATAGTATTTTTTATGGCCATCGTTTCAATGGATTGTTGAGCTCAACAACTATTTCAAAGAAAATTTTACGAAGTTTAGCTTCAGCTTCTTTTATTTGATGTTAAGTCTTTTATTAACATCTCTTCAAGTCGTCTGGGAATAGGCAAGTCCACATTTCTTCAAGTTAAGAATGTTTATTCTAACATGATTGGATTATCTTGGCATTCAACCCATTTTCCCATTTCTTTTCTTTTGGCTTGTCAGACACTAAGAATGCTATAGCTTGTAGAAAGCCTAAAGTTAAATTCCCTAGAGAGGTATTTTTTCAGAACCTGTAGAAGCCCTTTTCCTTAATTCCTCAGTTTTTCTTGGACAAGGCAGGTAAAATCTCCTTTCTGCAAGTCATTGCAACTATATCTATTATTCTAGTATGGCTGTTACATTATTAAAGTCTCTGTCCATCTGAGTCTTTGTAAAAATCCTAAGGGCATGTCAGAATAACAGGAAATAAGCACTGGAAGTAACAACTTAATCTGATAAAATTCAAGCAAGCCATATGGCGTAGAAATACATAATTGGAGAAAATATAAAAGATAAGGTGAAAATAGATAAGATGACAGTGATTATGCAGTTTGGATCAATGTCTTTTATGTATGTAAAGAAAAACTTCTATGAATTACAAATGAACAAAACCTATATATCAGCACAGGGAGAGGAGGAATGAAAGAAAGAAGCCCTAGTTAATGAGAAGGGTAATGATATGCGAAAAACTATTTTGGATGACTTTTCGTTACACCTTTCATCAATTGTTAAATATCTTTTATTAAATAAATGAATATATATAACATTATATGTTTCAAGAGACTGAAAAGAATTCGATCATTAAATTATATGTAAATTTTTATGAAAAAAATCGTATGAAAAAAATCGTATAAAAAAATTGTTTCAATCATTTTCTTAATAAAAAATTACTGGAAACCTTTTTTAATTGACTGGTCGACATACCATAATTGATTTCTAAAATCTGGCAATCTTAACAAAGACAAAATGCGACAACTAAATATGGAAAAATGCGACTAAACAAAAAACAATCAAGGTGAATAAATCCTTTGTTTGGGCTGAAGCAGAGAATCCAATTTTCGCCTAAACGGCCACCATCTCTCGTTCTTTATGCAGGGACTTCCAAAAATCAAACTGCTTACAGAGATACATGTATTTTCAACCCATGCAGATTTCAGACACCAAAATTATATTTTTAATTTGCAAGAAGTGGATTAAAAATATTTTTGGTTGACAATTTTAGGAGTAAAAGATTTAATTCAATCAAGAATAGTGACTGCTCATAGCGTACAGTTAACGTAAAATGCCACAGAAGTTCTCTGGTGAACCAATTTTTTGATGCAGAAAGCAGTACGGGTGACAATCGACAAAAGGATACTCTTGAAGATAAAATTGATCAAAGTCAAAAAGAAATAGAGGATGCAAGACATTTTGGAATTGAAAAAAAATGGTGACGAAAATGAATTGAAGATAGGGAAACGAGTTCAAGAACAAACCAATTTGTTCCAATTAGATCTACTGCTTTTCTACCTTCCTTCCACTTGCTTCAGCTTCCATGGCCTTCCTGGATCTCTATTCCGTTTCCTTTTAGTGTTCAGTATCCAGATTTCAATACTGAGATCCCAAGAAGTTTCATGCAATTCAAATGACTTGATGGCCTTAAAGGGTTTCTCAAGTTGTTTAGAATCAAACATTACTAGTTGGAATATCTCTAGCTCTGATTGTTGCACTTGGACTGGTGTGACCTGTGACAATTCAACAGTTACAAGCAAAAGGGTAATCAGTTTAGAACTCGGTGGTGAAAAGCTTACTGGGACAATCTGTGAGTCCCTGGCAAGTTTGGATCAACTGAGAATCCTGAACCTTTCTCATGATTCTCTACGTGGCTCCCTTACCACCAAGCTGTTCCAAATGCAGAACCTGAAGGTCCTTAACTTAAGCGGCAATTATTTTGTTGGTCCAATCCCAGCAAACACTGATTTACCATCAATTCTGAACCTTAACATTTCCAAGAACAGCTTTTCAGGCACCGTGGATGGAAATCTCTGCAATTTCTTCCCCCATATCAAGCATCTTGATTTCTCCTATAACCGCTTCCCCGGGGAAGTTCCGGCAGCACTGGGAAATTGTACTTCTCTGCAGCATCTCTTTCTTAATCGGAACAATTTCACAAGCAATTTGCCAAAGAGTTTATTTCAGCTGCAGCATCTCAACGTACTGCATCTTCATGAAAACAATTTTCCGGGCCACTGAATGACGAAATCGGTAATTTATCTAACCTTGTTGAACTGGATATCTCTTCCAATTTATTCACAGGAGTTGTCCCTGATGTATTTTTGGGAGGCTTGGTAAGCTTGAACAATTCTCTGCCAGTTCAAATAACTTCTCAGGAATTTTACCTGTGTCGCTGGTTAATTCCCAGTCCCTTGTAAAGCTTGATCTGCGTAATAACAGTCTGAGGGGTCCAATTAATGTCAACTGTTCTGCAATGGCTAGGCTCATTTCTCTCCATCTTGGTTTAAATAACTTGCACGGTCCAATCCCAGAGAGTCTGTCCTCTTGCCCCAGTCTCTCTGTCCTGAATCTCGGCCACAACAACCTTACTGGTTAGCTTCCTGACCACTTCAACGATCTTCAGGGCCCTTACATCACTCTCCCTCTCTGGCAGCAGCCTTGTCAATTTATCAGCAGCCCTTCAGATACTGCAAAACTGCAGAAACCTTACCATACTACTACTTTCTGAGAATTTCCAAGGGGAAGAAATGCCTGACAATGTGAATTTGCAGTTCAGAAACCTCAGGTTAATCAGCATTGCTTACTGCAAACTAGAAGGTTGATTTCCACTTTGGTTGAGTAATTGCAACATGCTGCAGTTCTTTGGATGTGTCGACGAATCATTTGGGTGGAAACATTCCCCCGTGGTTCAACAAGTTCAGTTATCTGTTTTACGTGGATTTATCAAACAATTCTTTCAGTGGCAAGATACCGGAAGGCTTACCTGATCTTCGGGGACTCATTGACATGAACATCTCCTTGGAAGTTCCTTCAGCTTCCCATTCTACAGAACTGGGACAGACGGTGCAACATCGAAGTACAATAACATTTGGAGCTTTCCGCCTACCATAGACCTGAGTTACAACACATTAAGTGGGCCAATTTCACCCAGTTTTGGGAATTTGAAGAGACTTCATGCTCTGAATCTCAAAGAGAATTACCTGTCAGGATCAATTCCGGGGAGTCTTTCAGGAACAACAAGCTCGGAAACTCTGGATTTGTCATATAACAAACCGTCCGGAGAGATACCTGATTCATTGGTAAAGCTGACTTTTCTGTCTAAGTTCACCGTCGCATATAATGAGCTTTAAGGAGAAATACCTACAGGAGGTCAGGTTATGACCTTTCCATCTTCAAGCTTTGAGGGGAACAAGGGCCTCTGTGGCAGAAGTTTAACTCCATGTCAGCCAGCGCGAGGCCCTCTCATGCACCCTCAACAGGATGAGCAGATGACAGTATTCGGTTTGCAATTTGGCTTTGGAGCTGTGACCGGTTTTGTTCTCACGGTTGCCCACTGCTTCATGTCAGGCTGGGTATTTCCAAAAGAATCTTAAAGGGATGGGAGTTGAAGCTGAGCCCTACTGCTACAAGCATAAAACCAGCTTTTTTGTACTTTATTGTCTATGCACCTTAATTCCTTGACATTTTCTGGACGAGAAAAATGGCACGATTTCTTTTATCATAGTGCCTAAATGTTTTAAACCTTGACATTCATACAGTTATGACTACCAATTTGTAAGCAGTAATCTGAACATGAATGCACAAAATACTCATAGATGAAGGTCTAGTACAGAACTCTCAAACTGCATATACACCATTCTTCAAAGCTAGACAATAACTAATCTTCTGAGAATTGCAGAAGAATTTTACATATTAGATGGCATGTACCTTGTAAGCAACAAGAGTGAAAAGGTTAAGTTTCTATGACTAAATGCTTGCAGTGAGCAGCAACCCAAAAAGAGGAGCTCAAATCAATGACATGTCCACTGTACACTTTTTAACCATCCTTAAAATCCTTCCATACTGTTCAAGTCAGGGAATTCATCTACCGATCTCAGCTTTTCAAGGATTAGCTGTTCCTGTTTGGCATCTAGTGTACCTAGTCAAGAATTCAAAATTTTTCTACATACAAAAGAATCATACGATGTCAACTAAGTATGAATTAAGCATGCTGAAACCTTGAAAGACCAAAGTATTAGCTTAATGATTCATTCTACAATACTCATCATGAAGATAAAGATCCTAACACTAAGACTCAAACAAGAAGACCGTAGGTCTACCAAAAACTAGAATGCTCATTGTGCCTGGTTAACAAAACATAATCATGTGCTCCTATTGTTGCTCTACTTGCGTGTTGACTCACATGCACACTATTATTTTAAGGCCTAAAAGCATTCAAAAAAATTGGCAGGTGTGCATCCAATAAATGTGTGGAATGCTGATGATCAAGCATGAATACAATTGAGCAAAAGAGTAACATAGCTGGCAAGGATACATTCCTGATCAGGCTTCTCAGTGAAATTGGAGTGTAATGCATTCCCAATGCTGTCCACAATGGCTGAGGTAGTCATGGATGATTCAACGCATAAGATGGCTGTTATGGCATCTAATTTAGTGACCTCATTTCTGAACATAAGTCTAGCATGTGCTGGAAAAATTGAAAGCATCAGAATTTTATGGACAGTGTGGACAAGGACAATTAAATTATTTTCTTGTCCAAGATACCTTGCCCCAGGCGTATCAGACTTTCCAGCATGCGCACGGTTGTTCTTGCTGCATTTATCCAACATGGCATTAGCAAGGTGAATAGAACAAGAGTGATTTATCAGAAGCAATTTCTAAAGAAGGGAACCTGCATTCTGCATGGCAGATCTTCTTTGAAGTTGATAATAGCTTGAGATAACCTTTTCAGCCTCTTTTGTTAATGATGGTTTAAAATGTCCTTTCACGTAGTGAATATACCTGAAAGACACCATCATGCATAAATAACCATCCATGCATAAATACATTAATAATCCTCCATTTTTCAATTTATTTCTCACTATTAAACAAAGAAAATAGCAATTTAATTGCTTGTTTAAAGTCCTCCATCTAATTTTGCAATTTTCACTTCGTTTTGTATATTTGTTACTGTTGTATCAAAGTAAAGCACTGTGATTTTCCTAATAAGACACTGTTCATAAATTTTGAGTAGCTTTGAAATGTTTACCATTTAAAAAGGTGAGACTAACATGAATAAACAATAATAAAATGAAGGTTTTGGAAACATAAATTAACATGATAGGGAAAAAAAGTGTCTCCTCTCAAAAAATAAATAAATACAAAGATTACTGTTATCATAACAGTTAATTAACGTTAATGGGGTGTGGGAATGGGTCTGTGTGAGTCTGCAAGTAAATAAGCATATAAGTTTCCACAAAGAAAACTGAAGTGGCATTATTAGTCTGTTCTTTTGATGAACTAATGGACTTTAATAATAAAAGCAAGGATTATTTATAAGATCCAGATTTGTGAGTTAGCCAGAATCAGCTTAGCATCAAATCCATCAGGCATATGCTTCCCTAGGATGGCACAGGTTAGGGTTCTAGGATCATGTCACAATAGTCCTTTTTCATGGAATGTCAAAAATGTATTAACTTTCAGTTTCTAATTAATTTTTGAACCAAAAGAATAGTTACCTCCGAAGCATAGGAAGTGACCAGAATTGTGCCCAATCTTCATCCGGTTCACCTCTCTTGTTTTCTCCCTGGGTTAGTTTCAAATAACAGTCAAGAATGAATTTATTCAATAAGCTACAAACTAAATTATTTTTCAGTGCATTACCTCAGCAAGAATGTGAGATGAAACAACCGCATCCCACTCAGGGTTCTTTGTATCTAAGAGGACAAGGACTATATCAAATCTGCTCAGCAAGGGACCAGAGAGAGTCGTATTGACAGAGAGAGCTAGATTAGGTTAAGGATAACAGAAACAAATATGAACCAGAAAATCAGTCAAAGGCTGAGGTGAACAGGAAGAGGGTAGAAGAAGGGAGACTTCAGAAGGATGAACATGATATTTGCCATCACCAAGTGGACAAAATGAACTGAGGAGAGCTGCATATGCTTTTCTTATATAAATGTAAATGATAAATTGCACATCATTATTAAGATTTGAAAGGTAAATAGACAAGTATTTTCCTAGATGAAGGGATACGTTGATCAGGATCATAATGTCCTTTAGGATTTGTTGCACCAAATACGATTGTCCGGGTACTAAGAGTTGTCACAAGGCCAGCCTGAAAAATAGAAATAGGTACAATTAATTAATTAGCCATGCTTAAAAACCATAATAAAGATCAATTAGCAATCACAGATATTTATAAATAAATAAATAAATAAAGATAGAGATAGACAAAAGAACAAAGATAGTTCTTTGTTGTACAGCAGAACAATATTCAAAAAATGATGAAGCAGAAAAACATATGAAATATGGAGTATTGCAAAATATTTATTGGTCTGCCTCTGTGTAGTGGGGAAGATGACTCAATAAAAGAAAGGGGATAAATAGGGAAAGTTGACGAGTGAACTCTCAAATTTCCTCACAAATCCTAATCAGGCTCAACAATGTGACACATCAACAATTTCTCCATATGATTATAAATAGTTGGTGCAGGGTCAGGGTCAGGGTCAGGGGTCAGGGATCAGGGGTCAGGGGTCAGGGGTCAGGGGTCAGTACCCCAAATACCCTGCATGAGCAAATTGATAGAAGAGCTTCAGTTCCTGCCTCCAGAAAAGAATCTTAACAGTACCATTAGGATATCAACTTCAAATAAGACCTGAAGGCAATCAAGAAAATCTTAAACACACCAACAGTCATAAAGCATGTGTACAGAGAAACAAGATTATTTTATTGAGGTTGCATGGAGACTCTGTGGACTCAATATAAATAGATATGGTGTTTATCAGACAAACCCTCACATGACTTTCATCAGACATAATTCAAAGAAAAACTAAAGAGCAATTAAACAACAAAGAGTGGTTTTGCTAGAACACCTAATCTAGAAGAAAAATGGCATGAGCCAAGCTTTTATATCAACAGAAGTCAATGATATGTTAAAAGACATTTAAACAGAAATAAAAGTTTATGTCCATGCAATGAAACAGGTTATTTTGAATGCTGTATACCTTGGCAACACTAATAGTCTGCTGCTCCATTGCTTCGTGTATGGTGGCCCTGTCATGTTCCCTCATGCTAACAAATGTGGAAAAATATGAAGAATTGTAGTCAAACAAGATTTAGAAAACAGTTTACCCATGTCATGTTCCCTCATGCTAACAAATGTGGAAAAATATGAAGAATTGTAGTCAAACAAGATTTAGAAAACAGTTTACCCCTGTCATGTTCCCTCATGCTAACAAATGTGGAAAAATATGAAGAATTGTAGTCAAACAAGATTTAGAAAACAGTTTACTCATATACATATAAAACACTAGAAGCAAGAGGAATAAGAAGTGCTTCATTTGACCAATTTAAATTTTTTGAATAAGGTGAGAATGCTGACGGAGTACAATTGTTCAATTATTTACAGATAAAGCATAAAGATATGGTAACTTTTAAGAGAAAATAATAATAATAATAATAATAATGGTCCAACATGTATAGTTGCAACTTATAGTATCACTGTCAATGAAATTATGTAGGTATAATAATTGAGTAGGGATGAACTTATGGTAGTGTAAGTTTTAAAAAATCTTACATCAATTTTCAGCCACACATTTTAATATTTAAGGGGTTGTTTTGGAAATTCAAGTGTTACATTAATTGCTGAAATTTTGAAATAAGTGGCTGAGAATTGATATAACACTTACACCAATGTAAATTGTAAAAAATCTTACACCAATTTTCAGCTAGAAATTTTAAATTTTAAGATGTTTTGGAAATTCAAGTGTTGCATTAATTGCTGAAATTTTGAAATAAGTGGTTGAGAATTGATGCAACACTTACACCAATGTAAGGTAATCCTAACTCATAATAATTATAGCAAACCCAGAGAGACTCATCATCTAAATGATGTCTTTTTTCCTGTTTTTAACACTCAGAACTACTAATGACATGAAATACAAGAAACAGGTTCTCTAAATGACCAAAAATCTTTAACAATTGCACCTTAAGAAGGATATTGCAGAGTAAATAGTGTTTTTAATAAAGTTCTTGGAATCACAGACATGTAAAAGCAAACTCTACAAATCCAAAGAGCCACACTTGGCAAAAATCGACAGTGAGGACAACTTAATAAACATAGGGTTAAAAAGGAAAACAGCCAGCAGGCATTTACCAGATGCTACAACATGTATGATTAAGAGGGTTTCACAAAATTCATTGGATAATTGTAGAAGGGCATTTTAATGGTCATCAAGATTATTTGATTGCCTTCAAGAATTTAACATTAACTTTTCTTTTCTTTACAAAATCCTAAAACTACCCTTCCCTCCCCTTCATTCAGAGTATCAATAAGAATCATCTTCTGCCTGGTTTTACTTGATAGCTAGACTAACCAATTTTTTTTGAGAGAGTACCTGAGACCCTAAATATCAGTCTCAATAACCCTTAAAATAGCCAACTATGAAAGCACTTTTAGCAAAATATTCAAGCATATAGCATATCTCATGTAACATATTACAAAGTAAAAGGTACTAATTATGATACAAATATGGGTGTATACTATTAAATGTTTAAATAAATAAAATTATGATGATAACATTTCTAGCCATTCAAACAGAGTACCTATCAAATTCATCAATGCAGCAAAGTCCTCCATCTGCCAAAACAAGTGCTCCAGCTTCTAACATCCACTCTCCTAATAATATAATAGATATTGTTAGCTCTTAGAGTATTTGAAAGTTCAATAAATTCACAGGAAAAAAAAAAAAGGGGGAAAAAGAAGAATTAGTGCATTTCCTTCAATAAAACTTGTTAAGTGTGAATATCCCATATTGATCAATTAAGGGGAAACTTATGGACTTAAATATAATATGGGTCACTCCACCTAATTGCCAATAGGTTTCAGGTCAGATGCCTTTTATCATGGCATCAGAGACCAGGCCCTGTTTTTGGTCAAGCCTATTTGTTGTTAGCCTAGGTGACAGGCCCCTAAGTTCATACAAGGGTTGCATGTGAAGGGGCACGTTAGGTGGGAAGATACCATTCCCATATCATCAATTAAGGGGAAACATGTGGACATAGACAAGCCACTCTACCAATTGCCAAGTAATTTTAAGTTGGATCACCTTCATCAAAACTTGACTGAAAATTATGTAAGTGCAAGCATATATCAACCACCTCCATAAATTTTCAAGTACACAACATACTTCTTTCACTACACACCTTATTAACAATAAAATACAAGAGGATGAACCCACTGGGGTTGGTTGAAATGGTTAAGGATTTGCTCAAACCATTCGAGTGCGGATGCCCTCATTATCCAAATATATACACACACTCACACACACACACACACACACACACACACATATATATATATGAGGAGAGATCCATTTACACACATCTTACACATCACACTTACACAAAATCTCAACTATTCATCTCGTCACTTTCAATGGTTGAGATTCGTCACAACTTTTAGGTAAAAAAGATAATTATCTTTAATAAATGTGAATAAATCTCAACCATTGAAAGTGGAGAGATGAATGCTTGAGATTTTGTGTAACTGTGGTGTGTAAGACTTGTGTGTAAGTGGATCCTCACTTTATATACACACACATACAAGGGGTTGATGACAAGATTGAAAAGTTATCACAAAAAAAAAAAAAAAAGCAAGGAAGCACAGTATCTTCAGAATAAAAATCAAATCCCTTAAGCTGAAAAAAAAAAAAAAAAAAATAGCAAGGAAGCACAGTATCTTCAGAATAAAAATCAAATCCCTTAAGCTGTTGCCTTCAGCAAGTCAATTGAATACTTAAATAAATTATCTTGGATTCTTAAAAAAACAATTGAATGCTTAAATATCTAGGACTAAAGCCTGCACTACATACAAAAACAATCCACATACTATATGATATCACTTGGACCAAAAATATATCTACACATTGTGAAGTGTGAACGAATGATTTCAATAATAGAATATCCAGGACTGAAGTGGGTAAAATAACAAACCACTCTGCATAAACAGAAACAGTAACAAAAAGGAGAAAAAAATTGAACAATAAAGCCATTAATGAATCTGGTAAGGTTCCAATAAAATGATCAAACAATGTAATATCAATCTGAATATGAAAGTTACCTCCATCCTTGACGGCAGTAACAGTCAGTCCAGCACTTGTACTTCCCAAGCCAGTTGTGATTACAGATCGATTGCTCAACTTTGCGGCAAATTTTAAGAATTGAGACTTCCCTGTACCTGTAAGACTATCTTGTATGGTTTATATAGGATCCAACTGAACATTTGTTCTTAACATAGAAATATGGCCCCCAAGGAATGCATTGTGGTTAGGAAGGATTTTGAGGTTAAATTTAAAGGTTACTTGAGAATAAAAGGATAAAGTACATTTGGATAAAATAGAGAGTGTGATTTAAGGTCAAGATTGGATACAGAAATCCAGGACAGGATATTAGCAAGCAAGGACCAAAAGTCAGCAAAAGTTTAAATTAATTACAACTCAGTATTTATGGGATAACCTACACAGTTTATTGCATATAATACCATTTACATGACAGAAAGAAGGAAAGAGGCAAAAGTAAAGACCTTGGTAAAAGCTCAATTAGAACAGTTTGATGCAAAAGTGATGCATGAGTATCAGAAACAGTCACGCACAAAATACAACTATCTACTATACTTTAGCAGTTAATGTATCAAGGTCCTAGAGCACTTCACCAGTTACACTACCACTGACAGAATTGTATTCTACAGGATTCTGTGTCCTCTTTTTCTCTGTTATGTTATTTTGGATAACACAGATTGAATTTCTACTAAGGGACATTGAATAAGGATTTTTTATTATTATAGCTTTAATAACATTAAAGATATACTGATCAGCGAAATCAAGGAAAATAGTTTTATTTGAAATTATATTGAAGAAAGAGATTTTCTATCTATTGCCTAGCCTAACAAAAGATCAGCTTGTTAGCCATACACTTGATCTCTACTGCTCTTTGAGTTGAACCAATCCACTATCTCTCCTTTAGCATTAAAATGTGGTCTAGGGTTGTTTCTTATCAAAATGAAGATGATTAGAAAAACAAACAGCAGCTGATTAAATTATGAAGTGAATATCAAGGAAACAGAGAAAAGATACCCATCACGTAAAAGCTAAAGAAGTCAATATTTAGGAAACAAGCCAAATAAAGGATATATAGCATTATTGTATCAAGTAAAAAGTTTACCTGGATCACCAACCAGAAGCAAGTGAGACTCTCCTCGAACCTTTGTCCCAGAAGCATCAACATGTTGCACACCTCCAATAAGTGTTAATGCAACTGTGCTCAAGGAAGAAAAGTTAAATATGATTCTGATCTGAACTTCCACGTTTTCAGCATGTTCAATGCCTAGAATAAATGTTAATGCAACGTTGCCATGGAACCAGGGAAGTTATAACCAACCACATCTTTGCTATATCAATATCAGTATGGACCAAGATTTCAAGCGTTTATGACCTAATGGAAGGTGCATTATTTTACATTTTCCCACCACTTGGCACAAGCTCCTACTCAGAACTTCTCTAGACAGTTATAATATTCACAGTGCAACACATATATGTGGATACATCATGGTGTGTAAGACTTATAATTTCCAACACAGTTATAATTTGAAAAACCAATGGTTGGAATTGAATATTCTATCATGTAGATCATGCATGCTCAATTTCATACTAACTGAATAAATTCAATTATTTAATTAATTACACAAAATTTTATGACATTAAACTTATGTTAAGAAATACGTTTTTTCAATCAAATGGTTATAAATGTTAGATCAACTTGAATTACATGATATACATAAATAGAACAATCGATACACTGGTTAATTTTCAAAATATTAACTATATTGAAAATTATAAGCATGTGTAAGGGTTCCTTATTTTTACATGTGTAAGTTGATCCTAACTCATGTGTGTGTGTGTGCACGAGCATATGTATATGTTTGTGAGTATGGTATACCTACAAACGATTTGGCGGACAAATGCCTCAAAACTAAATCTTTTTAATAAACATCCTTCCTTTTAACAACACATCAAATAAATATTGGAGTTAACAAACAATAAAGAAATAAATAAATAAATAAGATGCATGATATGAGATCACAAAAAACCTGCAAGCTTCACAGTGAAGAGTCCAAAAACTTGTGGGCAAATACCTTGTAGAATAGCATTTCTCCCTGGGATAAAAACTAAGTTTTTAAGTTCCAGAAAAAAAAAAAAGAACTAATTCAAATAAGCACATACAAAGAAAGAAAGTATTAAATTGTGCTCCAATAAAGGAAAAAAATTGAAAAGAAAAAAGTTTGACAACCCTAAAAAATTCAGAAAAAATGAAAGTTGCTAAATCCTAAGCCTGTAAGTAAATGAGTAGACAATAACTTTACCTTTTAAAGGGGTGTCTTTAAAGTCCGCCCAGAACTGATTGAATTTCAAAATAATGTCAATAGGAATATCAATATCTGATTTCAGCTCATTAGTTCTCCTGAAAACAGAGGAGAAATTAAAAGAAAAATAAGCATTTTCACAAGTTGCTATTTCCATTTGAAAAGTATTTTAAAACAATCTATTGATTTGACTAACATAAGAAAAAAAAAAAAAACTTGCAAGAGCAGGGGATAACTTTAAGATATATCCAACTCCTTTTTTGGGATTCCTAAATTCAGAAGCAAGTGTCCTTCGCAAGTTACAAACAGGTGAAGACAAGAGTATATCACAAAAAGAACATAAAAAAAAATAGATATCATATAAATTAGGTTTTGGTGATCAAACATCATATAAGCTGATGTGGATGTGACCATATTGAAAAAAAAAAAAAAAATTCAAAAATTTTCTGTTTCCAAAAAAATAAACTTCAAACATTTTTTTTATCCAAATGTTCTCTTTACTAATTAAGTCTTTTTTATAATTACTAACACAATATGTGTAACCAAAAACATAACATTCCCTTGATCAGGAAACATTTACCAAAACAAAAATGATCCCAAGATTATGGTGCTCAGAAAAATTCATTAGAATTGTATCAGATCCTTTTTAACATGGGAAGTAATACATGCCCCATAAATATTAAAGCACTATAATGAATAGGATTGTTATACCATGGACATATTTTTTAGCTTTCCATTATAAGTATAACTTAACTAATTGAATCTAGATGCCATGCATAATGAATTAGATAAAGGAAGTCCACCTTTCAGTCAATCATAAACTTGCCAGTACAAACTGAGATATCATTAGTAGAAAAGAATCAATGTTAAGGAATTTATCTTTGCTCTTTTTTTTTTTTTTCCATGTAAAAATGCTAGCAACGGTAGAGGAAAGATTAAAAATGGGGCTCTAACTCTGTGCTTTAAGCATTTACTGTTAAGAGGAGCTCCTCAATTTTTTTTACTATTAAAATCAAAAGCCACACCATTTACCTTACATGATTAGCAATTAATACAGGATCAAGGTCACAGCGCACATCTTTTAAGTCAGGAGACCATTTTGCAGTCAATACCCCTGTAACAATGACATCATCTGCATAAAAGAGTTTGTGACCCCCAAAAAAATCAGATAATAACTAAGAAGGCATAAAATACACTGGAAGAATTTATCATGCAAAAAGTATAGCTGAACCATTTATCTTCAACCTTAGCAAATTAATAACATTTTAAGAAATTATATTAACTAGCAGGGTAATGAAAGAGAAAATATAGAGAAAAATGAACTGGACTTCCTAGAATGTAGTTACCTCCAGCTTTAACGATGTCAACAAGATCGTCCATCAGTATGACTAAAATGGAACGAGGAATGACCCCAACACCCAACACCTGCGTACTTTCTTGGATTTTGATTTCCTGATAATCATGGCACACTGTAGTATTTGCTACATTCTGGAAGTTAGTTCCTTGACAAGGTACGGACCTCTGTCATTTAACGCATTGTATAAGTGATTTAGGCAGCTAAGACAAATATTTGACAATGTTTTGGTAGGAACAGAGAAGGAAAATGTTTTAATCTAGGAAAATCAGAGGAGGTCAAGCTTTTTTACTTTTTGAGGATTTAACATTTTAAATAATTAGTAGTCTTCAAAAAGGAAAAATGGTTACTTTCTGTGTGCACAAAAAGCACACAGAAATGAGGCCCCAGTCAGGACATCAAAGCATAGGAAGGTGACTTGGCAAGTACATTAACACCAGCATATGCTGCATATCTACATCACACAAGGCATTTTGATCTTAAAACTAATTAGATTAAATTGAAAGAAAAAGAAGATCAAATTTCTTGCAGGTTAAATAGCAAAAGTGAATTTATTATACTGCAGAAGGGTAGAAACAAAGATGCTATCCTAAGAAATTGTGCAATAGGAAGGAACTATAAAATGCAAAAAGTGTCACTTCAGTTAGTTAAGTAAAAAAAATAAGAGATGACCTGAAAATTTGAGACTCTAGAGCAGGGTACATAATAAACCTGAGATGGACAGATTGATGGCAGTGTTATTGAGTTCCTTGTTTCAAGCTCAGGGTGAACAGGAAACCTACAGACATTGTCAAACCAACCACTGTTAGCTCGGAACCTAGGAACACTATACAAGCTATCACCAGAAAAAATAAAATACTCCCGTGAACAATAAAGAAAATGGTATGAGCTGTATCATAGCCATCAAAGTGAACAAAAATGAAGCACTCTGCTACAAAACCATAAGTGCTAAGCTGAAGATAACTATAGTCACTTTCCTGCACAGCAAGCTTGCCCAAGTCTAAAAGCTACTGTGTATGCTCAGTGGTTGTCCTTCTTCCTAATTGTTCAAGTCGTACAAATAAAGACAGCCACATACTCCAGAATCTGGGTAGAATAGAACAATTTCTATTCACCAGCCTTACAGCACTTGAAGATGTACCCTGAAATAACTTTTGTTTACATAAAATACTTAAGTAGTTCAAGGACTAAATTATTCCTACATTTTTCTATTAAGGCCAAGGCCAGCAGTTTGAGGAGACATTTTGTTAACAGGCTTCCAGATCCAATCCCTTCAAAAGAGCTGCATTCATTAACAGTCCAATATGTGATGTTCCTTTTGGCACAATAGACAAAGAGAAACTAAACCTGCCCTATTTCTAACCATAGTTGTATAATGAGCAACTTAAGCCAGCAGGATATTCAATTGGGCCATATGTAGTGACAATATTTACTTCAGGGTACTGGTTTACTATAAAGGGAAAACATTCATGTTTGGACACACACTCATATACATCTATGTGCTTGGTAAAGGAAACATATGTGAAATTTACATGTGCTTGCATTTCTTGCAAATGTATGTTCTCTCCCCTTCATACATCTTCACTGCTCCAGAACGAATTACAGTGCCCTTAAGTGTAAGAAGGATCTTCCTGTGCTTCACTCTCACACGCCCAATACTTGGGAAAGCCTCTGTACCATGTGCAAATCCACCAGCCAACCAAGTTTTATTTCTTATATCAGCCATCACCCAATCAACCAAGTAACCAAGAAAGACAAATGGTACCAATTAAAATAAGAAAAACCAAAGCATCAAAGCATAAATGGAGCAAACCAGGGGATTCAAGTGGAGAACCACTGACGTTGAAACGAACATGAATGAATTTCTTCTCAACCCCTTTCCCATGAAAAATGGAATCCCTTAATACTTCTTTCTGAAACAGACTCAGCCGAGCATGCACATCAAATTTGTAAAATCAGCATTATCCAGAAATAAAATGTAAATATGAGTATGCATGCACAAAAATTGAATTTTTTATTTTTTTTTAATTCCAACTCCCACATTAAGATCCTCATTCTAACAAGCTTCCACCTTGGAATTTAGACCACATGTACAACCACGTCCAGATACTAATGTTCTTAATCTCCTGTCCTTCACAAATTCCGTAATCTATTTTCTCAAAAATTTCTACTAATATAGAGAGAAAGAGAAAGAGAAAGGGAAATGTAATATGTAGACTCTAATACTCTATTCCTTTTTGCTGGTCATAACTAGGCTCATACCCATCTCAAATTTCCTAATTTTACAGAGCTTCAATCTAACGATAAACAAAGAAACAAAATCCGAAAATCCCAGATCAAAAACTCAAAATTTAGGAAACTTTAGTGGGAAAAATCAACATATAAGTAGTAGCAGAACAAATAAACACATACCATAATTTTCCCAAAAATAATATGAAGCTAATGTGAACCAAATTTATGCGTCTATTTCATACCTGAGCTAAAACAGCGGCATAATCGAAGAATCTCAAGTATTTATCAGGTTTGTAGTAGACGTTGTGGGCAAGTGCAGGATCGGCATCCAAAAGCTCCGCAAACCTAAGAAGAAATAGAAGTAGAAACACGAGAAAGAGAAATGAGAAAAAAGAAGAAAAAGAGAGAGAGAGAGAGAGAGAGAGAGGATAGTGGTTTAGGAGACGAGAGAGTACTCGACAAAGAGAGGATAGTGGAACTTAGGGTCCGGAGAGAGCGCAATGGAGCGGAGCTGATCGGAGTGGTAGGCTACAAGATAATCGAGAATGGAGGTCACTTCGACCGGAATGTTGTCAGTCTCCGGCGAGCTCATGGCGGTTTTGTTCATTGGTTGCAGAGGGGTGGAAGAAGACGAACGGAAAAGGGTGGGAATCAAATTGGCGATTGCTACGGCGGCCTGCGCTTGGGCGGGAAGAGTGGAAATAGATGTCGGAGATTTGGAGCAGGCCCGGCCCATCCATCATGACTGGATTGTTCTCCGTACTTGGAGGAAACACACGGCCAGAGTAGAACTTTTGACGTGTGCGGGCTTCAATTTTCATGCTAAAGTATATATTTGCCCATCTTATTAAATTTAAAGTTTTTAACTTCTCATTTTATATTATAAAATTTTTAATTTTTTAATTTAAATATTTAAAAATTTTAATCTTTAAACTAATAGAATCGGTTAATTCTCCAGTAAAGTGAGGATAAAACATTTATAAAATCAATTCTCAAAAATTAAAAATGTAACAATTTAATTTTAAAATTTTAAAAATTTTAAAAATTAGTAAACTGAAATTAATTAGTGGATAACTTGCCAAATATATAAAACAATATTAAATATCTATAATGAAATTAAGCTATTTGCTCAATATAAAAATATATATAATTGACATTAAAAAAAATTTATTGGCTATTATTGAAGTAAAGGGCTGATGAGTCAACAACGATGATTACGTGAAAGCTGATTATGATGTCCTTCACAAGAGACAACAAGGGTTCTTTTGACTTGGATATGCTTCACATGCAAGAGGCTAGGATGTCATGAGTTGTCTCTCTTCATCCAACAAAGATGAAATGCACAAGATTCTTCAATGAAGTTTGATAATACAGCTTCCTCAACCAAGTCAAAAGAGTGGAGTAAAGTCTTTCCTTCTCTTTTTCTCTAATAAGGAGGAACTACAAGCTTTCTCCAACAAAGCCAAGTCAAGTCGGAAGAGTGGGGTGATGATGATGCTCCTAAGATCACAATTACACAACCACCAACATAAATGAATAGGTGATGAGCAACCTAATGCCTCTAATAAAGTCTAAGAGTAAACCTTCTCCAGCCAAGCCAGACGAGCTAGATGGAGATGATGCCTCCAAATGACAATTATACAATCATGAAAAAAGAGACAAATGGGTGAGTTGCATTGTAACTAAAGTAGCTTGGATAGAAAAGGCAAATATCAACTTGTACAATAAAATGGGCATATCTAAATGCAATATATTGTAGAATAGAAGAAATAAATAGTAGATGTGCCCTATACTATTTTTAGAAAATGTGTGAACTTATAAAATAAATAACCTTTAAGTTGGAGTTCAAAGTATAATAATTTCCTTCTCCAAATTTATGCATACAAGAAGAAATAAACTAGAAAGTAGTGATGGGATAAGGAAAGATGACCAATGGGATAAGGAAAGATGACCATTATGATGGCTTTTGATGAAGGACTTGATCCTGTATTTCGATGCCAACTTTGCCACTAATTGATCCTCCAATACTCAGAACAATAACCAAGAACCTCAAGTTGTGATGTGAGATCTCTCAACCATAATGGATTGCATGTCTAAAGGGTAATTTGTGTGGCTAGAAGTATAGAAAAATAATGTAGAAAATGGAGGTTTTTGGGGAGTATATACATGTATGTGAACTTAGAAATGAGGAGGAAATAAGTTGTAGTAAGTTTGGGAATTTTAGTGAGAGAGTCAAGAGGTTGAAGATGAAGATGAGAGAGTAAAAGTGCATCTGCATGTGAAGAGTGAATTGTCTATGTCAAATGAATGATGATAATAATAATGCTAAAGATAAAGGAAAAATCAAATATATATATAGGTAGTGAGATTTTGGTAATTTTGGATTTATAGGGCTAGAGTAGCATAACAAACCAACGGCTAAATTTGTGTTGGGTGAAGACATGTGTCAAGTTTTGGAATGATATGGGCACTTCTAACAGAGCTAATGTATAATTATGATTTCTCTAATGTTTCCAACAAAGGATTGTTGGTTCGTTGAGTCCTCCCATTCTTAGCAACTTCATATCTATACATAATGTCATATTTGGAGTGTAATTGAATACTACAAGTAAATCTTCCTTTGTCCAAGATTTTGGTAGATTTTCCAAGCAAAGTGTAATATCTTTTGCCAATTTTCCATGCAATGAAACTTGTGTAGCCGTCCATAGGTAACGCGCATAGCTGTCCAAACATTAAATATTGGGCAGATGGCATCTCCAATTGATCTTCAACGAGATTACAAGTCTTCTAATTAGTATCAAACAATGTAATTTGGGATCAAGTTTTGCCTCCGCATATGTGCCACCCATTGGTTCCTAGTGAAGACGAGCAATATCGTTGGCCCTAAGCTTGGCGAGCATGAATACTATACTTTGCCAGGTAGGCAATGTTTATCTATCCATGCCTATTAAACCACTAGTCCCATTGTTTATCACAAATAATTCCCATGAATTTGGGTTCATGAGTTCATTGATAATCTACATATAAAGATACTGCTCAATTGATGAAAATGATGAAATTTGATAAGGAAATAATTAAAGAAAGAGACTTCCTTGTGTATGTTTGGCGGTGCAACCATATATTATAACATTAGATATAGTTGGCCTTTTTGGTAAATGCATGTTGAAGGCATTAATGGATCCTTAAATCAAGGTGGGTCTTGATAAAGTGAAGATTACTTGAATCCAAGTTTGACCTTTTACAAAAATGTGCATCAACAAATGTATTCTTCTAGTCTCTTAAACTTTCTATTTTAATGCAGTCAAGAAATTTTCTTTAATCTCAATCAAAATTCTTTCTTCAAATTAAACTAATCACTCGATTTAATTTCAAATATCTAATACTGATTTAGTGTATGTGAGAAAGTCTTCCATTAATTTTCTTTTTAGTTTACTATTTTTTTTTTTTATTTTTTAGACTTTTAAAACTAAATTATTACATTTTTAATTTTTGAGAACTAATCCTACAAATATTTTTTATTTTCACTTTAATGAAGAGTTGATGGATTCCGTTAGTTTGAGGGCTAAAATCTTTAAATCTCTAAGTCTAAGGGCTTAAAAATTTTGTAGTGTAAGAGGTAAAAGGTTAAAAGTTTCAAATTTAATAAAGGGCTAAATGCATAATTTAGCCTAATTTTCATCTCTTCAGACATCATTTTCTCTAAATCTAAATCTCCTCTTGAAGTGGGATAAGAGCAATTTTTTATACAACCTCTACCATTGATGGTGTATGCATATAATATTAGGAGTTCATGGAGTCCAGTAGAGTGAAAAGGAGTAAATCAATTATTATGAAAAAATTGTTTGTCAATCATTTTCAAAAACGAAAATATGAAACCTCCAATTGAATCATCAGACCTTCCGTGCACATTTATGGATTATTTGGTACAATGTGCACCATAGTGCACACAGATGAACACATATTGAGTTGAGGAGAGCAAACACAATAGAAGTAGAAGTGAAGAAATCAAGAAGCCTTCTACTTTGTCTATTCTGCATACAGCTATGGTTTGTCTAAATGGCTCAACTCACAGGCGTCAGCATCATGGTCATAGATCTTCATCATCACCAAAATCTCTATGGTCCAGAGTTGGACGTTTCAATCTCTGGAAGATTTCATCAAGGGATTCGGATGAGGAAACACTGGAAGAATCTTTGTTCTCTTGGCTTTGCCCTAGAGGAAGGAATCTTCTCGCCCCAAGGTTAGAGGTGAAATTCTGAAAACCAGACTTCATTGATTCCCATTTTGAGACTAATCCTGATGATGGTCTAGTTATTTCACTTTGCAAGGTGCCTGAATCTACCATGGAGGATGTGATGTCCTTGAGATTTGAATAATTATCAGATGGTTGCTTTCTGTTGTTTTCTCTCATGGCAGTGTGCTTCTTGCTGATAGTTTCTCTTCTTGTGTCAGTTTGAGCCTCTTCTTTCAAGGATTTAAACTGACCTTTCTTCTCACTTTCAACCGCATTGTGGACTCTCATTTCAGTAGCAGCCTTATCCTGAAATCATTTTTCAAGCAAAAACAAATGAATGTTAGAAACAGGGAAAAGGAAACAAGAGGAGAAAAGGCCACAACTCATGGTTTATATATCATGAGAAAATTCTAAAATCTAGCCAACTTTCAATTATAAGAGTACGCATACTAGGCTCTTGCTGCCAAACTCAACATCAACCCTCATATTGTTGAAATTCCTGGCCAATGGAATGACATGCGCCCCAACTTTATGTCCTTGCTCAAGCCCTGAGCGTTCTGAAAAAGAAATATCCACAATTTAGATATGATATCAGTAACAGTAAAGTGTGGCTTCTCAAAGCTGATACCTATCTACTGATTTTAGATTTTTTTGCTGCCTTACACAAGTCATGTAGCCATTAGCTAGAATCTGAAGCAATGATCGCTTTGCTTGACACAGAAGAAAACTATGGCACTGCATACATGCTAATTATAGTATATGGTGATTACCCTTCTGTAAGATAATTAGTCCTGATGGATCAAATCCATTTGTGTCTTCTGCTTCTTCATTTTGCAAATTGAATATCTTCCAGTTTCCAAAGTAATCAATGATACGGTCAAAGAAGTTTGTTGCAAGTAGGATGGTATATATAACCATGATGACGGGATAGATCTTATTGAATCCTTTTCCAAAGAAAGGTACAGCATCATCAATATTCCCCATTCTCTGCAGAGAAGACAATGTCATGTGGCATTCAGAGAAAAATGATCAAAACCCAAAAAGAAAATATGAAATTGAAATGTTTTACCTTCTCAAAGTATGTTTTTTTATTCCCATCAAGGCGTATGAGATTGAGGAAGTTGTATGAAATTGGAGGAGCATACCGAGCAACCATCCTGGGAGAGATTTAGGAATGAGAACCAACATTTGGAAGATGATAGTCCTAGTATTCAATTCACAAAGACAGCAGCAGAATTGAAGAAAAAGGAGGAATTACGAGCATATCATAAGCAAGCTGACTGAGCTTGTTTGTCTTGGTGTCAGTGAGTAAAACATCAGCATTCCAATTTTGAATAATGAATAATATGTGCAGACACACATGTACATCAGAGGGATGAAGGAAGCTACCTGTAGAACCAATAGATATAATTAACAATTTATGTATGTATGTCATATGTCTATCTATGAATAGATATGTTGGTATATAAAAGAAGCCATTTGGGTCCAGCACCTCCCACATATACCAATTCATATTATTCTATTAAATTCATGTTCTAGAAAACCATCATAACTGCTGAAAGCAGCTGCTTTGGATCATTTAGGTTTCTGCTTTGCTGTATAACCAAGATGAATAAGTCAAAACCTTTATGTCGACATGTAAACCGCTTAACATCAGCAACAACAGAGAGTTTATTAAGTTTGTTTCAAAATATTACCTGCACAAGAATTTCCTTCTTTCTTACAGAGTTTATGAGAATAGAGACCAGAGATAAATTAACTCCACTGGGCAGTATAGTAGCTTCTGCTAAAAGAATTGCAACTGACATGCAACCCAAGATGATAGCCGACACTTTCTCGAGCTCCTTTCTTAGCATACACCGCCAAAAGAACTCTGCATTAAAATATGATTAGTGTAGCTGAGTTGATAAAAGGTACTACAAATACGTGAAAGATTGGGGAATCTATCTAACAAAAAAACTGCCTGTTAAAATTTCACAACGAGAACCAAAATTCATTTCTAGCAGAAATTTAAATGATTAAAATCCCACAGCATTTTGGCCAAAAAAAAAAAAATCATAACATGTGAGCTACCATATCTAGCATTTCAGTGATTGCTCATTTCACTAGCATTTCGGTAATTGCTCATTTCACTAGCATTTCGGTAATTGCTCATTTCACTAACGACTATTTACTAAGCAACTTTGTGGACATAGAACCCCATTTTCGCGGCATCTCCACTCATTGAAAGATAAAACTTCTTCTCATTAAAAGCTCTGGCAAACAGAGAAAATCCTTTCATTGTTTTATTACCTAAAACCCCCCACCATTGCAGCTCCAATCATCTAGAAGAACTTAGATAATACTTATAAGCATCCAGACAGGTAAATTAATTCACAATGCAAAAAGATGATCCAGCCTAGCAAAACAATATGCAAAGATAGCACTTTTGTTATGATAATTACCAAGAAAGTCAAGAAAGGCCCCAAATGTGCCAGCTCGTTCAGGCCTGAAGCTTGAAACATATTTCCTGTAACATTCGAAAAAAAAAAAAAACGGCATCAAAATGAATTTTCTATTTTTGAGAAAAGGTGGTAAGTTAACATTTACTCCATGGTCTGGATATTAAATGCACACTAGTCTGTAATTTAAGTGCCTCAAGTAATAACAACAAATATACACTAACATGCTCCCTTGAGTTGAGAAACATTTCTGAATTGCCATAATATCTTAGAACTTAATCAATATCAAACAAATAACTTCATAGAAACATACAAGTAGCCAAAAGGAGGAAAACAGAAAATTTGGTCTTCAACACTTGACCTCCAAATGAAAATTTTTGTACAGCAGAAATAAGTGATAGTGTGAAATAAGTTAGGGTTAGCTACAAAACCTGGTTCTGAATTCTGCTGAGTCCGGTCAAAGAACTATATAACATTTAGTATGGTCCAAGTTTAGATATAATGGTTAACACAAGGACTTCATGGGAAAGATCTCTCACATATTCTCAATATCTCAAATATTTCTCAAGCTTAAGGGGTCCCAGCACCAACTTCAAGGCAAAGTCATACATTGAATGAAACATATCAGTTGAATTCTTAACATTTCAAATTTAGAACCATTCCCTCCTCTCTTTTTTTTTCTTATCACTACAGAACTACAGGGCAAGATTTACTCCAAGTTATATTTTCCAGTACAGAGAACCAATTATTCCTTCTTGTTGACTTTTCTCAATCCATTCATCCTCCCCTGCAGATCTGCTCACAGAAAGTGGCCCTCTGACAATTGAACACTTTGTATTATGAAGAAAAGGCATGTTAGTGACAATTTACCATGACATTTACATTTCCAATCCACCATTATGATTTTTTAAAGTATTATATCCTGAACTTTCCTTATATATGATCAACTAAAACAACCTAATGGTAATCCCCAAGTCCAAATGTAATCAGAAAGCAAGGACTGGGAACAGCATTGCAAAGACAACAGACACCTATTTGTATGTGAACTCAAATGCTAATAAATGATGGTAAACAAATTAGAAAAAGCTCACCAATCCTGCCTAAATTTTATATATAGCACAATGAATATCATGGTTAACTCTAAAATGTTATAGAGTAAAGAACAAAAGAAAGTCACAGAAAAATCCTTCCCATGTCAACTGAGTACAGACCATGAACAAAGATGTAAAAACCTTGCACTTTCTAGAGACCAGCAAAGCATTTTGACCCTAGGATAGCAAAACTAATTCAGATGCATCATATATCTTATGTGGCCCAGAAGTTGAAACATATGGTGGAATATGTGGAAGACATCAGAAAATTAATTCACTTATTTATTGAAGAAAATAAACTACAGGTTAGAGGCAAACCATCCTGTTGCTTCCCTGCGCTCATAGTTTTTGATAGTGTCTTCAAGCTCCAGGGCTTCCAAGACAAAATTCATATATTCACTGCAAAAGACTAATAGTTAACTTTAATTACCACAGGAAAACAAACTTGGAAGCAGAGTATGGTAGCATCTTTCATGAAAAAGATATCTTTTGCAAAGCAAGTTATGATTGCTGATCAATAATTGTTAGTTATTTGACCTTTTTCTCAAGTCTATTTTTATTGAGCCAAGGACAGAGAGTCAGAGACAGAGATAATTCTTTCAAAATTGGGGAGGCCACAGGTAAACTAACTTCCAAAACTCTTACTTGGCCCATTGAAATTTAGAATTTGTAAATGGAGCCATGTTTTTGAAATGGTTGTCATAAGCAGCAGCATTTGCAACTCATGTGTCAAGAGTATTACACAATATATTTAACTTAGCATATTAAAGTATATACCTTTTGTATCGGTAATACTCTTCTCTAGCTATCCTAAGCTGACGTCTAAGCGTTGCCATAGTTTTCACATCAGTGTCATAGTCCATATCATTTTCCCCTAATCTTCCCCCTTGTGGTTTGAAAGAGGGATCTTCTTTTGACTGCATAATTGGAAATAAAAGGTGAAGCATACAAATTTGCATTTTAAGACTAACACTTCAAGATGTACACAAGACTGGCAATACCATTTGAAGCAACATGTTATCAATAATATCCATGTATGGTCTCAAAGGATCACGCTTGGAGATCTGATTTGATGTTGCCTGAGCTACCTAACGAAACGATGCAAAGCAAATTGTGAATGAAAATTCAAGGAAAAAGAAAATAATCTACAGATGTGTCTAGTGACTGAATTATAAAACTAAATCAATCAAGCCATTGGCATTTTTTCCCCCTTCCCAGCCTTGTTGGTTAAAGGGTTGGATTGCGGGAAGTTTTCGTTATTTTTGCTTGCTTTGGCCAGGGGGAAAAAAAGAAGAAGCTACATTTGATTGCATTACCAGACCAGATACTATATGGTACTGAATTCAGAATGATGTAGTATTTAAGTTGATCAAGACACCGAAACCGGACTTCTGACAAAAAGATGAGAGTGAATACATGATGCATGAATGACACAATTCTCAAGACACTGTATACAAGCCTCTCTCCCTCATCAGAAAATATATACAAGTGTTCTTGGGACCCTCCCTTTGAAGATCATTGATATATAAGAAGTTGTGTTTTGTCAGAGGTTTGCTGTTGAGTATTCTGTCCTGCCAACTTTCAAAGTTGTTACTCATTGCAAATCAAATTTATTTATGACCATGATAATTTCTTGCTTCTCTATGTGTAAAAGAATGATGAAATATCATTTATGTAATGCCATCATCAACATGCATATCATCGATCTTTTCGCTGTTTTATCTTTTACATTAAGCTGATGATCCTATGAAAGATGGAAGTATGAATTCTAATAATTTTAGATTCCCTATTTCACAAGATTGAATATCTAGAAAGAGGAGTCTGTGAATCGCCTTTTTTGAGTCTAAGACAAGGAGATCAATAAATTCTCAATTTCTTCACAATATCTCATTGTCTAGACCTTACATTTTTTTCGGCAAACATAAGGAAACCAATAATTGTGCACTTCCAAATATGGCGATAAGGAAATGGATTCTAATATTTCTTTTATGGTACCAAAAGGAAACTGACATTTTCAATAATTTAAAAGGGAAAAAGATACTTACTACAATAGCATTTGAAAATTTTTTATGAGCATCATCAAGTTTAAGAGCCATTTTAGAAACTTTGTGTGAGAGAAGCTTTTGGCAAATGGTCCAATCTGACTTCTTCCAAATGCTCTTTGGGATTTCACTCAAACCAAATCCAAGTAGAAATGCACCTGTAACAAGTCCAAAAGTACTTGAGCATGCCATGGCAAGACCAAGAATACCCCCACTCCTGCACCAAAAACAAGGAAAAAAAGAGTGAGAGAGAAACAAGGATCAGTCATTAACAAATGTAAGAAAAAAAAAAAGAAAAAAGAAAAAAGAAAAAAGAAAAAAAACTAAAGGTTGCTTTAAAAGGGAAAAGGATCTGAACCTTTGATCCTGCAATTTCATTCATCTTGATGTCTACTGCAAGAGCAAAATATTTTTGTATGCCTAGTAAACTACTGACCTCAAATGCACATTCTCAATGCACCTTTGAAAAACTATAACATAGTATACTCTAGCAGAAACTAAAAATAACTTTCATCAAGGATCAAGCTCAGCTCGCCTGGTAGTAAGAATGCTAAAAAAGCCTAGTACTAACAGCAAGCGTTTGTTCATTCCTCATTGCACCTGAATCAATATTGGACCATTTTCAGTTGCAACCTACTGTAAAAAGTAAATTTTCTTACACAAAAGCCAATTAATTTCTCTCATATAATCCTAAAGAATCCATAAATCCATACATACAGATCACTGATAGTTATGGGGATGAGCATTCAAAAAGGAACCAAATTGCTCAAAGATATCAGGCAATAGTCCAAAATGTACTTGACAAGGTGGGGAGGAAATAACAAGCAAATAAAATATGCTTATAGGAGACACAATTATAGAGGTTGTATTTTGGCCAAAAGAAAAAAAATAATATAAGGTTACAAATGCATTTCAGTGAAATTATAGGATACAAGTAAAGGCATATATTACTGAAAATAAAATGTTACACAAGCAACAATAACCAAGAATACCAATTAGCACCTAAAGTGATGACCACAAGATCTCAAGGAATGATTGCAATAGAAACAAAAAATTTGATCGTAAGAAACAACAGGTCAGTGCTAAACATAAAGAAATGAAGGTGAATCTTCAGCACAGAAAGACACGTACCAATTTTTTCTAAAAATAATTAGTAGAATGAGTCCAAGCAGTCCAAGAGAACCAATACAAAGGTAGAAGACTAAGTTTCCGTGTATGCTAGTCCTCAATCTTTCAGTCATGGTGAAATCTCCAGCATCTTCATGACCCTGAATAGTGGGCACCACAGCCCTGCTTAGAGAAATAGTTTAATATAAATCTATGAGAATACATGTATCTTAACAATGAAACCTCTAAAATTTACCCCTGCACTGAAGAATTGTAATAAACCTAAAACTATGAAAGAGATGCTTCTGCAAAACAAAAGTAAAGCACATGCCTGTTGCAATATTAACGATTGATGATGAAATATATGAAAGAAGAAATTACTCTGCTAACTTAATATGCTCAATGACCATCTAATAAATAAAGGCCCATCCTTTGGCCTTTCTTTTTCTAATTCCGGGATAGCTTTTTGAATTTGGAGAAGAAAAGCTTAGAAATATGGAAAACATGGAACCACCTCTAAAGTTATGTGACAATATTGAGTTTGTGAATGAGGTTGATTCCTCTTTTGTTGCATGAATATTGAGTATCTCTAGACTCTAGTAATGATTTCATTAGTAGTATTTCTTTTCAGATAAAACATAGAAAACTGTAAAAAATACAAATTGAACCCAACCTAAACATTTTCACCTTAGACAGCTCCACTTCATACATTTCAACTTTTCAAATATGATAAATCTACAGCAGCAAATTGGCATATCTATGAAGAGCATTTAGCTTTCCTATCACTTAACTTCTACCAGATAGCCCTCGCTCTACATTTTCAATTCTATCCAGCCTCTAACAGAATTGCTAAACTCTGTAAGTTCCTCAATAACATCATTCTTCTATCTTTAGAGAATCAACTTTATGAAATTCTGCATCTAAAGTGATTCCTAAAGAAATACTTGTTGATGGATGAGAGGTACCATTTTCAAGTTTGTAAGATATACTTGCTGAGAGATGAATGATGTCTCTATGAAAATATAAAAACAGGTACACAGCAAGTAGGTGGGTAAGATAAAAACATACCAAGTGAGCAAAAATGTACTCCAGTATGACAAGTTCCAGAAGAAAGACATTCCTCCACCAGATTCACCAGTCATTGTCTGCAACAGAGAAAGAAAACAAAGAAATCAACCTATTTATACTTTATAGAGAATTTCAAAGTCATTTCCCTAGGACATTTCCAGTAATAATAGCTTGAGAAATATGTTAATGATTGACACCCATCAATGAAAAAGGGCTCCAGAATCATATATGAGAAGAAAAAAAAATTCATAGGGCTGCATAATTCACATAAACAGAAAAAGAATAAAAATCATAACCAATTGAGATTTTAAGGCTCAAATTCAATAATAAGACATGGTAACAGAACAAAATTCACTTCCATAAATTAAACCACTGATTTCTACGTAACTTTGTCTTTTATTCTTTTATTACCGTGCATCAAGATAGGACATGATGCAACCAGATTTCCACCAACCTTCAAATATAACTTCATAATTGATGTAAGATGCTATAACAGATAAAACTCAGTGCTAGTCTAAATTAAACCATTGATTTCATGGTTATAGTATATCTTTTATTACTGTGTATGAGGCAGGGTAGAACAACAGATAATTGTCAAATCTCAACCATATTCCTCTTTTATCAAACCAACCATCAAACCTATAAACATCCAATCTATAAACATCATAACTTCCCTTCAAATGCTAATCAAGAGTGCAAACATCCCATTTCAATGCATAAATTTCCAAACCTGCATGAACATGAACTTTCTGATTGATTACCCAAAAAGTGGGCTAATTTCTTTCCTTTGCCCTCCATTTCCTCCCCATTCAATAACATTATAATCTAACAAATGCAGGAGCAAAAACTCTGATCATAAAATCGGCAATCCAACCAATAACCAATTAGATAAAATAACCCAGATTTTCAAAACATGCCAAAACAAAATGCAAACGGATAAAAGAATCATGGTTGTTTTATTACCATCCAAATATCAGGCGGGACGAGAAAGATGATGGAGAGAGAACAGGACCAGGTGTATCCGACGGTGAAGAGTACGTACGTGGGAACATCCGGACCCGCAAAATATTTCAGGGTAAGAACCGCCATCCCTGTTGTTAGAGGCAAGGAGATCAAATAGAAGACCCACATCTCTGTATCTTTTTCAACACAATTATCATGCGTATTAATTTTATGGTGTATTATGTAACATGTATGTACAGTGTGGTCCCTTTTCTCTTCATTCTGGGATTATTTTCTCAGGAAAAATGGAAGAGAAAGAGTGAAGAGAACGGAGACAAAGAGAAAGTGGTGGAAGAAACCAAGAAAGCTGGGAATTTTTGCTTTTCAAGGTGGAGTAATTTGAGTACCCGGTCAAGAGGGGGCTTCTTTTTCATGCATTTTTGCGGTTTTCGGCTTTTATAGCCACCAACTGCTGTCCGATACGCGCCAACTTCTTTGCTTGCCGCCTGAATGGTAGGCCCAACCCAACAACTAAATAAAAAAAAAATCATAAAAGGAAAAGCATATTCCATAAAAATCAATATTTGAACTTTCATAGATTTCTCCATATTTTTGAGAATTTTGATTGATTTTATACATTGTTAAATTTTTTTTTTCCCAATTTTTATTGGATGTGAACAACTCAACATACTTTCATAAGGAATTGGGACAAATAAAACAAACTAAAACGTCTATATAATTAAGAATAAGTTATATTACACGTCTGGTTTGCTAATTTGTGGTTAATTTCACAAATAATTACCTTTTAACAGCCAACCACTTTAATACTTCACTTAATTATAAGGTGATATTATCTAACTCGACATAACCAAAATGTGATGCATATATGATCGATCCCATGAGCATTTGCATTATTATTATTATTATATTTAAAACTTTCACAAGAATTTGCAAAAATAGGTTAATATAATATTTGAAAATTTCATATTTTCTCTGTTTTGAGAGAGAATTGATCATACCTCTGCCCCTTCACTTTACCAAGTCTCCCATTTGATTGAGGAACAAGGACTCTCCTTTGATTGAGGAGCAAAGATTTTAATCTAAATAAAGGCCTTTTTTAGTCAAATATTTATTAGTAATAATAACAACAAAGGAAGATTTTTCTTTCCCAAACAAAAAGTGAAGGGTGAAAGTGAAACAAAAGTGAAACACACCATGTGTCAATTATGGCTAATTTCTTCATTAATTCTTGACCAATGACTGCCCATGCCTTGAAGCTGAAGGACAATCATTCATTCAGAATAATAAAGAGATCATAAATAACATAAAGAAAAGTGGAAAGAGTTTTATTGTCAACAAAATAGTTGGGATTTTGAGCATCAAAGTCAAGAAACAATCGTATTTATCTGATAGCATGATTTATGCTAATAGACAACAGGTTTCACCCACTCTTATTTTCACCCCCTTAATAAAAATCCCAAACAAAACATGATAACAGAAAGGAAAAACGGTAATTATCAAGTCAAGTAAAAAAAATCACCACCCTGATATACGAGAGGTAACAGAAAAGTTATAGGCTACACTGATACCCTGAAGAAAATATTTTAACTGACACAATCAAGAATCAGTAAAACTGCAAAACAAATGAGCTTAATAGAAACTCCACCAACCCCAGGAACAGAATTTCACAATATAGGAAGTAGACTCTTGGAAGAAAACAGATGAAAAATTATGCTTCATATGTTTAAGAGGCAGGCAGAGAGAACATATCGATCAGCCTTAATGATTTTGGTTTGGTATTTCAAACATCTGAGGCCTACATTTCAATCTCATTAACTTAACCTTAATTTCTAACATCTTTCTAAGCAAGCAAACCAATTCTTCTAGCTAGAATTAACTTTGTTAAATCATTCCAAAGATATTGACAGCTGGATATCAGGAGAGAATACAATGAAAAAAGGCAATCAAATGCTCAGGAATAATGAAGAAGCACAGAATAAAGCAATACCTGGTCTTGGTCAAGCTTCTCCAGATGAGAGATTGAGAGGTCATCTTTGGATTCAAGTGGCAGATGTGCCTCCTCCTGCCTTCACTTGAAACTAATAGCTACAGTAAACCCTTAGGTAATTGACAACCTCAACACTTTTCTACATCCATGCAGAAAGCAAAAAGTGCAACTTTAACATAACTTTTTCTCCCTCTTCACGAAATCATAGAGAAATTATATTTAGCTCAAACAAGTGCTCTTGTCCTCCAAATAGGAAGGGCCCAAACATGAAAAGGGAGAAGAATTAGGATCATAAATTGCATGACCTAAAACTTGTGAAACAATATAGGTACGTCATTTGCATTTCATAACATCAACTGCGTTAAAATGTAAAATAATAGAAAACATTGAAACTAGTGCAGTCTAACAACAATTAACAAGAAACAGGTATCTTAAAAGCCTACTGCATCAAAGGAAAATTACAAAAGTCAGATAGATTTATAACTTTTGCATCAACTCTCATCTACGCTCCAACCTAAATAAACATCATTAACTCAGGCCTGCTATATACGTTGTTGTGCTCATCATCCAGAATGGGGTACGCTGCCACAAGAGCATCTTGAGATCCAATATACAAAGAGTTGTAGATCTTCCAGTACACTTCCCTAACCTTCCGGGCAGGATGGAACAGACCCTGGAGACAGTAGTTCATCACAATTGCAGCACCCAAGGCTACCCTCATTCCTTCAATCGCTTCCATGACAGCATTTATTACATGAGGAGAAGTCTCAAATATATTTGGCCACACATAGTTCAGCAAGTGGACCAATGCATCCTCACATCCTAACCCAGCAACACCTAGTGCCATGTGCTTTACAGCTGATGCAGCAGTCTGCCTGTGGACCAAATCTCTGTCCATGAGTGCATCTTCAAGTAAAGGAGTCACAGCATAAATATAATCTTTTCCCATTTCACCAATGTACTCAAAGAGGAACGAAAGAGATTTCAAGACACCATTCTGCACATTAAGCTCCGGCACTCTATACTCATTCATCAAAGCTGGCAAAACAGTAAAAGGAGAACATGTCTCTGCCACAATTGCAATTGCCACAGTTGTACAGACACGGTTCTGACGTTCCTGCACCTTGAGATTGTTTAATAGAGTTGCCAATACATCCTGAGGCCCAATAGCTTTTGCAATATACCCAAAAGTGTTGACAGTAGCCCGCCGGATACCCTTCTTGTGAGCTTTAAGCATCTCAAGAAGCTCAAAACAAATCCTCATCCACTCCCTAGCAGGAACAAACTCCGCACCACGATCAGCAATACGACCAACAAGATCAATACAATTCTCTTGGACCTTCTCATGCCTATTCTTCAAAATTGGTGTCAACCTAGGAAGCAAATCCTTAATTGGTGGAGTCATTTTTGTCATACCAATGACATTGACAATTGCCTTGAGTGCTCCCAAAATGGAACCAAGAACTTCAGGGTACTCTTCTCCCAAATACTCATACAAGACAACCCCAAGATGTCCCATCAATTGTTCCTCATGACATTGTTTCATGACAACTGCAATCCTTGAAATAAGGTCTGCTGCCTGCTGCCTTACCTTGGCACTCTTGTTATTCAAACGCCACTTAATGGTACCACAAATTTGGGGAAGATAAGGTTTGACTCTCTGCCCAAGAGCATTTACAACAGCCCCAAAACCATTAAGCATCACATTGGCATCATCACTGGTCTGTTCTTGGAAAGCATAAAGAATCCCATCAATCAAAAGCTCTTCCAACCTAGCATCTATGTCAGATGCACCCAGGTTTGTAACCACCTTCTCAATTGTTTCCATAACCATTCGCCTGTATGGTTCACTCTCATCCTTGAGATCCTCAACTATTCTGCCTACAATATCAGCAACACCAACTTTGTTTGCAATTTCAACAGTTGTCTCAACTAGCTGCTTGTAGTTTCTCCTATCTAAAGCCATCCTTCTCACCCAGAAATTACGAAAGAACTCAGGAAGAATATCATTCCTAATATAATCAGCCTCTACACCCTCTGTACTCACACACTGCTTCACCACTTTGAGCACAATTTTCTTCATTTCCTCATCAGGAGACTGGAACTCACGAATTAGAATAAACATAACTTCCTTTGTATAGTAACTGGCATAAATGGCATCCATAAGAGGAATAATGAAACCAATAGCCTTTAAGAATGCAGCCAAGACTTTACCTCGGTGAGACCTGATACCCTTCCACAGTGGCTTCAGAACCGAGTCAAAGCTTTCAATACCATACGGGGCAGCAGCCTCAGCTAAAGCAGCCAAGGACAGAGCAGTGATTGTCCTCACCTTCTGATTCTCGTCATTCAGACCATGTTCTATGATTTCAACAAGGGACCTGAGATGAGGAAGAACAGCACAACCAATCAAAATAGCAATCTGCTGCACAATCTTGATCCCAGTGTGCCTAGCTTGCCATGATTTCTTACTCTGACACACAGCTTTCAAGAAAGGCAGAAGAGCAGGAATCCCTAGTGCAGAAGCAACAACACTAAAAGCCCTTGCAGTAGTGTTCCTAACATACTCATCAATGTTGTCAATATCCGGACGCATGGCAGCGATCATGGTAGCCAAACCAGCTGCCTTGCTGAGATTCGAAATAATCTCTCTCCCTTCCACACGGGCATAATAATCTTCGTCTATCAACAAAGGCTCAATCACAACAAGAATCTTGTGCACATAAGGCCTAACCAACTCATCTAATTTATACAGAACCCTATCAATAACCTTTACCAAAAGGTGCCTCTCTTGGTCTTCCAATGTTGGTTGCATAAGCAAGGGCAGAATCTGATTAAACAATGGGCCAGCACCAAATTCCCGAGCCTTATCAGTAAGCTGCCTCAAAGCAGTCTTCCTCTGTGGTGGGGTTCCATTCTTCACCTTCAACAAGAGCTTCATAATTTTCCGCTCTTTCTGCTCATCAGGCGACAACTCCTCCTCATTCACATCATCCAGCAACTTTTTAAACAATTGGTAATCCTCTGGCTTCATATATGGCAATCCACCAGGCATCTCCTTGGGCACGTCAAACTGTTGGCCACGATTCTCCTCTGGAATAGAGTAAAGTGGGGTTGCTAATGGAGTTGGGGTAGCCAGAAGCTTCCTTGCAGGCGTTCTAATGGGCACATAGGATGCTGGCGGCTCTAAAATCTTGTATCCCTCTTCAGGGAACATAGCATCGAGCTCCTCATCTGTTAATGGCCTATTTCTCTCCTCAATATCCTTCTCCCACCTTAACAAATTCCTCTGTTCCGGAGTCATATATCCAGCCTGCTGCAATTGAATAGCCGAAGGAGTGGGAGTGGCCAAATCGATTCCACCAACAGGAGTGACTCCCGGAGTAAAAGCAGCGGCTGGAGTAGCACCCGCCATTGGGGTAGCACTACCCATGGTTGCCGGAGTCTCATCCCACCTGGACCTCTGCCGTTTTGGTGTTGGGGTAACCAAACCTTTGGGGGTTGCATCCCAAGTGACCCCAGCCGGAGTTGCACCAGGCGTGACCCCACCAGCAGGGGTTGCATCCGAGTCAGCCACACGTCCTGGAGTCGGTGTCTCATCCCACCTGTTCCTCCTTCCCACCGAAGGAGTTGCATCTGCCACCCTTCCTGGTGTAGGCGTAGCATCCCACCGCCCAATTCCAGGAGTTGCATCAGGCAAATCCCAGTCTGAAGTAGCCTTTGCCTTCTTCGCAGCAGAAGCCCCATCATCCTGCGACTGATCCCACCTATTCCTCCTCTTGGGAGCAGCGGCAGCAGCAGCCCCACCAGCCTCCTTCTCTGCCTTGGCCGCCTCCTCCTCCTCTTTCTTCTTCTTCGCAATAGCCCTCAAGGTCTCTTCCTTCTCCCTCGCCAAAGCCTGCTCCCGCATCACGTCCGCATAAGTCCGCACGGACGCATCCGGCGTCTTCTCCCCAGCCGCAAACGCATCATGCCTCTCTGGCGATATAATACGATTCAACCTTCTCCTCCTATAATCATCCTCACGGTCAATAATCTTAGCAGGTTGTCGAAACCCCAGGGAGTTATCATCCTCATCCCCTCGAGGAACCTCCTTGAGTAGGGATTTAGGGGCAGTGTAAGAAGCAAGCTTGCGAGCGAACTCAGAATCCATACCGTCAACGTTGGCATCATCTTCGTCGTTGGCAGGGATGGAGGTGACATACTCGTTCTTATCGGTACCGCCGTAGAGGTCCCGATCGAAAGTAAGGGTTGTGAGAGAAGCGAGTTCTTCCTCCTTCCGCCGCCGCTCCTCTTGCGTTGCCGCGATCTCTCGATCGATATCCATCTTCTAGGGTTTCTGGGTGTAGATGATTCGAGAAGATCAGTTAAATTTGGGAGGTTAAATTGTAAGGGGAGTCAGAGGTGTTAGGGGTTTGAGATTTTTTATCACCGTCCCTCACTTCGTGGTGTTGTGGACACCTGTTTGGTTAAATGCTCATTTTGGTCCCTTAATTTTATTAATTTGCATATTTTTTATCTTTAAAGTATTTTGTGCACTTTTTTTATCCTCAACTCTAAAAAATACACAATATTAATTTTCTATCAATTTGTGCTGTTAACTCCATCCACATGATATTTTTTATATTTTTTTAATGATGTGACATTTTACGTGGCATTTTTTATATTTTTTAATAATGTAACAAATTAAATTAAATCTAAATGCTTATATAGATAAAAAAAAATGGTGCCAAATTAGATTTTACTAATTAATTATCATTAAATTATAATTATTTATGTTAATCAAAATTGATATTCTAATTAATTTATAATTAAATCACAATTTCCTCATCAAATTTTCTTAACAAATATTACAATTTTCTCCACAACCAAACAGATTGAAACCATTTTCTCAACATCCAAACACCCAAACTATACAATTTTCTAGCTAAACAAATGGAAACCCACTAAAAATTGCTTCTTTGCCCATGGTCACTGCTTCTGTTCTTTTTAGTTTGAACATTAAAATTATTTAAACAATAGTTAGGAAATATAAAGCAAAATGATCCCAAAAATCCCTCATAACCTGTAATTTACATAAACTCTTCGCAACAAATATATATATATATATATATATATAAAAAGTGAAGCTGGATTCCATCTAACTCGAGCTGGGTTCCTTTGAACCTAGTTCAGTTGGATTTGAGGGAACCTAGCAACACAGAGGAAGAAGCGGAAGAAAGAAAAAGAAGAAAGAAAGGAAGAAGATGGATCAAGCAAGAGAGACAGGGGTATTAAGGTAAATTTGTAGTTTTTTTATTTTTTTATTATAAATATAAATGCTAATCTAATTTTGGTGTATGAGTTGGCGTTTTTATTTGTATATGTAATCAAATTATATGATGTGTTATTGTCATGTCATAAAAAAATTAAAAGAAAATGCCATCGTGGAACTTTTAACTGCCATGTTATAGGTAACTGATGGAAGGATCAATATTATGCATTTTTTAGAGTTGAAAGATTAAAAAAGTGCATAAAATACTTTAAGGACCAAAAATATATAAATTGATAAAGTTGAGGGATTAAAATGAGCATTTACCCACCTGTTTTAATCCTTGAGGGGAACTAATAAACCAGCATTGTATGCTTGTAAAAGGAATCTAAATAAACCGACATTGTAAATAACTTTTAGTATGGGTTTTGATTTTTGGTTTTTAGTTTTCATATATTTAGTAATAATTATATATTTAAAATGAAAATTTATTAAATTTAATCTAATTAAATAATATTAATTAATATATATTTCAAAAAAAGTATATATCAGTATAAAATTCTGAAAATAATTAAAATCTCAATATTAAATTACGTTGTTTTATTTAATTAAAACTTAATTCAAAATTTAAAAAATTATCTTATTAAATATTAATAACATTTAATAAGATAAGATTTTAGTTTTCAAATATATGTTAAAACTCTAATTATTTTTAAATGTCAAAACTGATAAACACTAATTTCATATGTTTATATATATATATATACATGTAATTGCTATGAAAATAAAGAAAAAGAAATTAGCAATAATAACGAAGTTTTTGTATCGGATTTTTTATTATTATTATTTTTTTATATTGGTTGCACAACTGGAGACAACCCTCTTGTACTTCTTACCATATTACACCATATTATATTCACATATCATGTGATTTGAACTCAAAACATTTTACTTTTAATGGAAAAAAATTATCACTACCATATTACACCCCATATGTCATGTGATTCAAATTTAAAACCTTTTACTTCTAATGGAATGAAATTATCACTAAGTTATTTAGGTTGTTAGCTTGAACTTTTTTTATTTTTATGTATATTATTTGTATAAGATTGTAAGGTTATATATAAGTTAAAGTAAAGAGGGATTTCGATTATTATTTAATAAAACAAAACAAATCTACAAACAACATTAAATGAAGCCATGAATGAAAAATGTAAAACTCTGAATGAAACATATGAAGCTCTAAATGACACTGAGTAGGATGTAGAATATAGAAGATGAAAGATGAAAGATGAAAGTTAGGAGATGAAAGGTAGAAGGTAAAACATCTATTAAATTATAGAGTTCATAATAATAAGAAATGAAAACTAAAACCTAAAAATCAAAATATTGCTAAAATGAAACTAAAATTGAGGGTAGATTTACCGTTACTAGAGGAGGACCACCCTTATTTATAGGGCCTGCCTCTTACCAAATATAAAGATGTGCAATCTGTGTAGACTTCTCTTTGGTGATTGAACCGTCCAAGCCAATCAAAAAGAACATATTAGTTTTGGTTTGGTTGTTTGGAAATTGGAATTGGTGATATTCATTACTTCAAATTTTAAATTAGCTTATAGGTTAATATTTCTATATCTATGGTTGAATGATACTAAAAATTCACTCTCAAAGATGGGCCTAACCCTCTATGAATGACTTGAGATCAACTCGGCTTGTAGTAAATAGGGATTACTACTTGTTAAGGGGGAATTCTCTACCCGTTAAGCTGGTAATGATAGATGTGACTTTCATGTTAGCTTATGATACTAGTAGTGTCATCATTTTTACCTTGTACCCTTATGATCATGTCTCAGCGAATGATGGTTTTAGGTGATTCCTAATTCCTAATTTGTTCAAACTTATATACGAGCAATTATCACTCATTATATGTGCTTTAGGAATAGTTTCAAACCTTCCTGTGGTCAATCTTATTTATAGGAATTCAGTCCTTCATATTAAAAATAAAAATCACTCTAAGCAAGAAACCAAAAAAAAAAAAAAAAACCAACAACACCAGTCGTCCCTCTTTGGCTTCTCCCCTGAGCAGCAACCTGCCAACTATGTGTTGTCACCCAAGGTTTATACAGCAGTGTTATTTATTTTGTTTTCTCTCCTTTTGGGATTTTCAATAAAAGCTCTTTCAATAAAGATTTTTTGAATTTTTTTTTTTTTTTGGTCCTCCTTGGGTTTCAAATTGAGGTTTTACAGCATCATCGTTTTTTTAGCAGAAACCAGATAATGAAGATAGCATTAAAGCATAAAAGCAGGTTGCTTGTTAATAGCAGAATGATTCTTTCACACAAACATTAAGCTTGGATAAATCTTAAATCAACTCACTTAGTTTTAAGAAACAATTAAGCCGTGAAATACTAGGAGACTTTCAGCAGCTTTTTAACTTCCATCATGAACACCTAAATTCATGTAATTTAATAGAAGGCGAAATGAAGTCAACCTCTCCAAACAAAAACAACCAGAGAAGTACATTGCAAAGATAATGATAATGATTAGTGGCTTCACTGTTGTTTCTCTTCCTCCTTTTTGGGTGCCTCTTTAATCTCATCAGTTCCATCATCCTAGATGTTTTGGAAAAATCAAATATCAATATCTATGAACAAATTAAATTTGCTACAGAAGAGAAAGATACAAAAATTAGAAAGAAAAATGAAAGGGCAGACCAATACCAATACCTGCATATCTGAGGTCCACAAAGTGAGATTATCACGAAGAAGTTGCATTATCAGAGTGCTGTCCTTGTATGAATCCTCTCCTAGAGTGTCCAACTCAGAGATGGCTTCATCAAAAGCCTAATTGAATTCACAGAACAAATTAACTGAATGTGGTAGGAGATAAAATACTAAAATAGCAAAACACAAATGAAACCCCAAAGAGATAGAATAAGGAACAAAAGATGCAGACTTATCACCCAATCCAATAGTAGTTCAGTTAAAAAAGGAAAATACTGTACCCTTTACCCAAAAAATGAACGTAGAAATAAGATAAATTTTCTAGAGTTCCAACTATCATACCTGTTTTGCAAGGTTGCAAGCGCGATCAGGAGAATTCAAAATCTCATAGTAAAACACAGAGAAGTTCAAAGCCAATCCTAAACGGATTGGATGAGTTGGAGCTAGTTCAGCACTTGCAATCTCCTGGAGAGAGGAAGCAACAAGGAATGCACTGATCTTATCAGCCAATGCTCAGAAATTTGGAATAAATAACTAGTTATTACATTACTGCTGCAGAAAAGCTCCCCCTTTTAAAGGAAAAGAATGAGATAAAACAGAAGTATGATATCCAAGAGTGATCTTTTAAATTTTACAAAGAAAACGTATTTTGGAAATTCATGACATTTAAGTTGGAAAGTTAAACACAGACACAATGAAGAGCTGAAACAAGGTCACATTTAATAAGCTAAAAAATAATCATTTGCTTCTAATTTTAAAAGCTCTTAGCTTTGTGAATCAATAGAGATAATCAATAACGTCACTTCTGTTTCCAACTTTCAACCCAGCAATTTTTTTTTTTTTAAAAAAAAAAACAGGTTAATATAAAAGATAAAGCCAATTCAGGAAGTATGTTGAATTCATTAATCATTTTCTGGTTGAATTAACTTCATAGTGCCCAACTTAATGCAATAAATTCTCAACCAAACAGAGGTAAACAATTGCCCACCAAACACCATGCTAACCAAGAGCTCAACATTAGCGATGTTAAAAAGGACATTCCATGATTCCATATGGTTTGATTCGAAACAAATTAGAGAACCTCAATAATCCATAACATAGCTGGCCAAACCTCCTGAAGTTGTTGCTCTCTAAGAGTTAGAGAATGACATGTATCATGGATTAATTGATACATTTTTACAGGAAGTGTTTGAGAAACTACAAAGAGAAAAGATAGAAGAGATAAAAGACCAAACATGAACCACATTCATACACAAACATTTCCTATTTTTCTTATACGAACCCATATGCACTCCTGTTTGACAAACAAACAGACATCGATCCAAAAGATTGAAGCAAATTAAACCAATAAAAACAGAAACAAAAATTAATAAGTTAATAGCATCATGCTAAATTTGATTAACAAACCACGTTGTTCCGAATCAGAGGTTAGCACAATTAAAACACAAACCAATCGGATTTAAAAAGAACATAAACACATTACGATTCATAATTTAGACATGAAAAACATAACCAAACCCTTGCCTTGCTGCACCAAATCAATTACCAAACCATTAAAGAACAGAACGAACCTGAGCAGATTTATAGGCGGTGAGTGTGTTTTCGGCCGCTTGTTTCCTCTCATCGCCGGTCTTGAACTCGGCCAGGTACCTATGGTAATCTCCCTTCATCTTCAAATAGAAAACCTTGGGATCCCCAGTCCCCGCGGCCGGCACAAGCTTCTCTTCCAGAAGCTTCAAAATTCCAGCGCAAATATCCGACAACTCGGTCTCGATCTTGGACCTATACTCCCGGATCGCGGAGACGTGATCGGCATTCCCACGGCCCTCCTCCTTCTGCTCGATGGAGGAAACGATGCGCCAGGAGGCACGACGAGCACCGATAACGTTCTTGTAGGCAACGGAGAGGAGGTTCCGCTCCTCGACGGTGAGCTCGTCGGAGTCCGGCACGGCGGCGACGACGTTCTCCATGAACTTGACCATTTCCTCGTAGCGCTCAGCTTGCTCGGCCAGTTTGGCAAGGTAGACATTCTCCTCGCGTGGGGAAGAGGCGGCCATGGTGTTTGGAAGGAAGGAAAGGAGAGGATCGAAGTGATGAGAATTGGAGGAGAGATGAGGAGGGCGATTGGATGAGTGTCGCTTTATGTAAGCTAAGGTGAGGGTTATGATTTCTTCGTGTCTTTTATATATATTTTTTTAAGGTCTTTCTAATATTTATGCTTAACATACACGTTAAAAAAGTAATTAATATATTTTTTATTATTAAATTACATATTAATAACTAGAACAATATTAATCACACAGTTAATTGATACTTTTAAAATATGTTAAAAAAATTTTATTTTTAAAATTAATTGTTTAGTTTTTATGGTGGCGTAGGAATTTCTGGTTTAGAATCTTTAGATGCTGCGGCCCGCCTCTGAAGTCATGGACGGTGGACGTGGGCCTTTCACTTTGGAGTGACCGACTTTTAACCCTTTTTGTTGACTTGTCGTTAAATAAAGTGAAGGCATAATAATAATTCTAAAGATATAATCAATGTTTTAAATAATTTAATAATAATAATAATAATTTTTTTAAACAGTATAAATATTTTTTAATTTGATAATATATTTAGTTTAAATTGATTTGCTAATCAAAATTTTATATTTGATTAGCAAATAAATTTGGAGAAAAGGGAAAGGGAGCAAACTTCCCTATTTTATTTTTTACCTTAACTTTTTCACTTACTCAAATGAAGGGAGAGGAAGAAAATGAAAGAATGTTTTTTTTTTTTTTAAATCAAACATACTATAAATTATTTAGGATGGACCAAAAATAAAAAAAATTATTTTTTATTATATAATTTAAAATTTAAAACAAAATACTAACAATTTGTTAGACTAAATAAGATTTTAAATTTAAATTTTATGAATAAAATATTAAAATATATAAATATACGAGTGTGTAAATAAAATGTCACGTCCATGAGAAACAAGTTGTAAGAGTGTATTATAAACGTGGGAGATTTATAAACCTGATAGATATATTTTTTTAATTTAATATAATGTCTCCTCACATATATTTATACTCTCTCATATTTGTACTTTTGAATTAATTTGTTAGATTCTCCTAACAAGTGATATTAAAGGATTTGATGGTTTGATCTAGCTGTGATCCGTGTTGGCTCGACTTTAAGTTATGGATTTTGAAAGGTTTAGTATTTTGAAATTTTAATTTAAATATTTGATATTCAAACGTTAAATTGAGTAACAAAATTATTATTTTTTTTT